GATTCTCACGAGGAGACCGATGGATGCTCAAACATGAATAAGCAGCCAAGTGTTTGATTAGCGGTACGGGAAATGTACATGGCCAATGGGCGTGAGTTTTGGCCGAGGATGATCATCTACTAAGGAGAATGTATTCACAAATTTTCAGCTCAAAAGGAGGATCCTAGGTGGTACTTGCTTTGCAAAGTACCACACTGGACAAAAATATGAATGTTGAAGCTGGGCTCAAAATAATGAATGGATTGAGCTGAAATTTGGTGGAGCATGGTTATTTAGGCGTAGGAAAGCATTGTAGAAAATTGATATCATTTTGACATGCCAAAGTAGTACTTCCTTCACAATGCTCTTCTATGGACAAAAACTTGGGAAAACTAGTGAGAGAGATTGGATGAATGAAATGAGCTAAAAATTGGTGTAGGTAAGTTACATAGGTATGGTCATGCGCTGGTAAATTTTCAGATCATTTGGGTAAGCCTAGCTAGTACTTACTTCACAAAGCTTCTCTCGAGGTAGAAACTGAATATTATCATGTGGCAATGATTTGGGTATGGAAGAGTGCCCGAAAAGTTTGAGGGTAATAGGAGGGGTCTATATAACACTTGCTTTGCAACATGCCAATTTGGCCATAAAATATAAATTGAACCTGGGCTCACATAGATGATTTGACTGAGCTGCAATTTGGAGAAGGGTGATAATTTGGGCATATGAAGGAACTATATAAATTTCATGTCATTTAGAGATATAAAAAAGGTACTTCCTTCACAATGCTTCTAGGTGGACAAAAACTTTGGAAATTTGCCGAGGAAGATTTGCTAGGCAAATGGAGCTGAATTTTGTCATGCGGTAATGATTTGGATAGGAAAGAGTGCCCAAAAATTCCGAGGGAAATCAAGAATATATAAATAGCACTTCCTTCATAAAGTGTTGTTGTGAACAAAATAGGAAAATGAATATTGTTGAATTAGTTTTGAACTAGGCAAGGAAGGATTTGTACATAATTGATGAAGATATGCCCCAAAGAATTTATGAGAATTTTTTGGGAATTTTGGGAATGATAGAAATATAGGTTGCTTCATAACCTAGGGCAAAAACTGCCACATGGACATGACACATAGGCAAAACTGATGAGATGGCGCCTAGTCATCACAACCCACCACAATCTACAAGGCCATGACCATCTATATTGGTCATTAACAACTAGAAATAAGGCAGCGGACTAGCACTGTTTGCTTTGTGACCATTTCGTGTAAGGAAATTACGACCTTTCTGATCAAAATGGTCGCAATGGTTTAGGGTTTGGAGCCCCCTGAACAGCTTTTGACCAATTGGTCTAAAATGGTCATAAATTTATGACCAATTCTTCGAGGGTCACTGACAGAAGGTCATAAGTTGACATATTTCTTGTAGTGTTCGTTTTGTGTGCTCGCACCGCTCATGAACCGGCAGGGGGTAGCCAATATTTTCCATGCTAGATGTGTTATTCTCAAGATGAGTGTTTATTCACTTGTCATTACACGAGAGTACGACAAAGGTATTAGGGATGTCCAGTCCCAAGGTGAAAAGAAAGTTACTTTATGTTGTCACATAATAAATCCCTTGGAAAGTGTTGGTATGGAAGGTACCCATGGATACGGCTAGCCATGGAAAGTGAATGAATGGTGGAAAAAGGAATAAACTTTATTTTCTGTTTGGGAACCGCCTATGATATATATAGCATGGAAAGTGTTGGGAATTACTCGGTCATTTTCGTTGACGGAAAATGTATGCAACCCAAAATGTTTTATCTCTATTTTTCCGCTTTGAGCTCTAGCACCTCTACAAATCCCTACTTCCCTCTACGAAGGCCCATTCTATTCACTTTATGCAATTTTTACTTTTTATTTTGAGTCTCCATCTTATCTTATAAAGCACCAACTAAGGGCACTATGATCGTACTTGAGCATTGGGTGTAGCTAATATGCGAGTATGTTTTATGAATGGATCAATGATTGAGCATAATGGGCTAGGGATAACTTGCTTTAACATTGATATTTTGAAAGACTTGGTTGCTTGTTGATATTCTTGAGTGTTGAAATCTTCATGTCAAAACTAGACTATTGCTTTGACTCATATAAAATTCCATATGTCCATGCTAAGAAAAAGAAGAATATGTGATGAACATGTTAGGCAGCATTCCACATCAAAAGTTCTGTTTTTATCATTTACCTACTTGAGGACGAGCAGGAATTAAGCTTGGGGATGCTGATATGTCTCTAACGTATCTATAATTTTTGATTGTTCCATGATGTTATATTATCATTCTTGGATGTTTTACAATCATTTTATAGCAACTTTATATCATTTTTTGGACTAACCTATTGACATAATGCCTAGTGCCAGTTGTTGTTTTTTGCTTGTTTTTTACTTCGCAGAAAATCAATACCAAACAGAGTCCAAAAGCAGCGAAACTTTTTGGAGATATTTTCTGGACCAGAAGACACAAGATGGGCCAAATAAGTACTATAGGGGTGCCCCGAGGGGGTCACAGCCCACCTGGGCGCACACTGGTGGGTTGTGCCCTCCTCGGTGGCCTCCTGCACCGCCTCTTCACCCTATAAATTCTCAAATATTCCAGAAACCCTAGGAGAGTCGACGAAACACAATTCCAGCCGCCGCAAGTTCCACAACCACGACATCCAATCTAGACACCATCACAGAGGTGTTCATCATCCTCATTGGTGCCTCTCCGATGATGCGTCAGTAGTTCATTGTAGACCTACGGGTCCGTAGGCAGTAGCTAGATGGCTTCTTCTCTCTTTTTGATTCTCAATACAATGGTCTCTTGGAGATCTATGTGATGTAACTCTTTTGCGTTGTGTTTGTTGGGATCCGATGAACTTTGAGTTTATGATCAGATCTATTTTATCAATGAAAGTTATTTGAGTTTTGATCTCTTATATGCATGATTGCTTATAGCCTCATATTTCTTGTTTGAATCTTTGGTTTAGTTAGGCTGACTAGATCGATTTTTGTTGCCATGGGAATAGGTGCTTTGTGATGGGTTCGATCTTGCGGTTTTCTTTCGCAGTGACAGAAGGGACAACAAGACACGTATTGATCGTTCCTATTAAGGATACCAAGATGGGGCCTATTCCTACATGAATAGATCTTGTCTACATCATGTCATTGTTCTTATTGCATTACTTCATTTCTCCATGAACTTAATACACTAGATGCATGCTGGATAGCGGTCGATGTGTGGAGTAATAGTAGTAGATGCAGGAAGGAGTCGATCTACTAATATTGGACGTGATGCCTATATAATGATCATTGCCTGTATATCGTCATAATTATTTGAAGTTCTATCAATTGCCCAACAATAATTTGTTTACCCATCGTATGCTATTTTCTCGAGAGAAGCCATTATTGAAATCTACGGCCCCCGGGTCTATTCTTTATCGTATTTGCTTCAAGATATATTTTTATTTGCTTTTGTTTTCAGATCTATAATTCTAAAACCCAAAAATACCTTGCTGTATTTTTTCTTTATTTATTTCATTTTGTTTTAATGAGAGATCTATTTATCCAAAACCATACAAATCAATCTATCTTTTTACCCGAGAGGGATTGACAACCCCTCTTACGCGTCGGGTTGCAAGTATTTGTTCTTTGTGTGCAGGTATTGTTTACGTAGTGTTGCTTGGTTCTCCTACTAGTTCGATAACCTTGGTTTCATCACTGAGGGAAATACCTACCATAGTTGTGCTGCATCATCCCTTCCTCTTCGGGGAAAAACTAACGCGGACACGAGCCATCAGTCACTACCGCGGAGACAACCGCCAGGCATCGACGCCGCCTTGACGGCGAGCTTGTCAAGATCGGCGAGGAGTGGTCGCTCGACGACTACTCCGTGAATTCCGGCCGTGGAAAGGCCGCCACTAGGGCACTAAAGGCTGCATCGGCAGTAGTCGCGGTGGCCCTCCGCATCGTACAACAGGAAGCAGAGCGGCTCCTTCGCGAATGGCAGACAGCCGTCGGATAAGGTTGTGGCGGCCCTGCAGCGCCGTTCTGCCGCTGGAGGGACCACGGTGACGGCATAAACGATGAAGGCGGTAGGACAAGACATGACGGTCACGCGTACGAGGTGGACGTCCGGTTTAGGGTTTAGTTTTTTTCTAGTTCTTTAGTTAAAAGGTCGAGATATCAACCTTTTAATGTAAATTATGACCTAACTTGAATAAAATCTCTCATGTTTACATGAATTTCGTCCGTTTAGTTCAAATAGTGGTTCAAATGTATGCGAACAACGTTGGATGGTTGGCTCCCGCATTCGTGTCCGCGCACTAGTTCTCCTGTCTGCCACGGACGGATGCTAGAGAAAATTTGCGGGTCAGAACCGTAGATGCCCTTAGCTAAGAATAGTAGATGAGTAGATATCATCGTTTAGTTATACATGTGTGTACACATATGATTTAGGAAATCTTTCATTTTCTTGCCAACTAAGCATATATTTGGGCTAGATCATGGCGACTGAGTTTGTACTGATTTACCATTGTTAATGCTTTATTTTGATATCAGAAGATACTGTATTAGATAGATTTATTGTAAACAATGTACACCAATTAATGTTCTGATTTGAAAACATAAGGATGTGATATTTACTTAATTATTTATTACAATTAATAATGCATTCATTTTACACCATCAAACTATGAGTACAAAAGTTATTATGATATATTTTCATAGCTAATGCATCCCTGGTAGTATTGATTCCCGCAGCTTTATTTGTAACAAATTTGATTCCCTGAATATTGATTGATTTGATAACTAATATATTGATATAGAAGATATTATTAATTACCATTAAATAATTGACATAAGTAGGCTGCAATATGTATCTATATAACAGTAAGAGAGGTGAACACTACCACAAGCAAAAAGTATACCCAAAGAGCACCGATCATTGAAAAGGTACTAGGTTGTTGCGGAAAAATAAAACTAAGAAACTAGTGCCTCTCGAAATGGCTATCTTCAAGAAGAAAGCAGGCGCCCTATTTTTGGCAACTCTCATGGTCATGGCTACTCTTCTCTCCTCATGCGAAGCGAACAATAAGGTTATGTTATTTTACATGTCTTCCTTATTCTCCTTGATCATTTGCTTAACGTGCATCTTGAAATGTTGAGATCCCATTAAAACTAGTGTATATTTAGCAATGCCAAAATATAAGGTGGCAAGCTATGTTGCACATAATTGGCCTAAGAAAATGTGTTGACCGGTGCAGATACAAACAGATGCTCTCCCCCTACCTTCGAAGTGCTATGAGTTGGACTTACCTAACTGCACGTTGGAATCATGCAAGAAATTTTGCGCTGGAGGAAAGTGCAGTTCCTACGATGGCTGTTGCTGCCCCATTGCCTAAGACACCACAAAAATGTTAAACAAATGGCTCGCATAATAAAATAATTTCCTACATGCATATTACATATATGTATGTGCTAGCTCTGGCACATTCTAATCCTATATCTAGCCTACTCGTACAATTAAAGCAAAGCATGTTCTTTCTTCGGTATTGCGGTTGATATGGATGGAGCTACTCTAAAACCCCTGGTTCCTAACTCAGGCGACTTGCCCGATCCTATCCTGTCGAAAAAACCGAACCTTATCTTTTTCTCTCTTCTTCCCACATGTTAGTGACTCAGTCTGATAAACTCAGGGAGCAGCGCGACGCCGATTCTTGCCCGCCTTCTTTCCCGCCGGCGCCAGGTAACCACACACGCCGCCGGTCAACAGATCCTCCACGCGGGCCGAGCCCAAATCCTCCGTCGGCTACCGCGCACATACCCAAATCCCCTATGCCGGCCGGTGCCCAACGCCTCCATGGTTGCTGCCACAGCTGTGGACCCCGTTGACCCCATCGCGCTGCCTGGGCCTCCTGACACCATCTTAGGATGCCGTTGCTGCCATGGACCACCATCGTGCCAGCTTGGACTCACGGAACCCTTGTATAAGGCTGTCCGTAATGAGGAGTATCATAGGTAGTGTCATGCATGCCAACTAGATAATTTTAATGATATGACATAAAATTAAATGAAGAAAGAAAGAGTTGAGTATCATAGTACCATATCATATTAAATGATATCATATTATAAAGAGAGAGTTGAGTATCATGATACCATATCATATTAAATGATATGTTACTACTACCGAAATTGCACTTCCTATGGTTTTGTAATAACAATAAGTACACTTTACTCTTACAGAAATTCTTTGTTTATATTCTGCCGCTATGCTTGTCAATTCTCAATGATATGATCCATACACAGAAATTCTGAATGACACGCCATAATCTGTGTTTGGGAGGTTCACTCTCTGTCTTTGAGAAGTACGTTCTTTGTATCTTGGGGGTGGAAGTATGTCACTCCACCTAGGAAATTCATTTTATTCTGTTGGGGTTTTCTTTGAGTCTTTTTGCAAAAATATCATGTGTGATTGCAGTTCCAAAATAATGCAGTGTTTATTTGGTTGTGGAGAATTTCGGGCATTTATTAGAGGAGGTGCAATCTATATTTTCGAGGAGTACATTACGCGGAAATCTGTTTGCGAGCTCTAGACACTCATATTGGGCTGATGTTGTTAATGTGGTAGTATTGCTTCACTTCCCTTGTTACACACTGTTCGCCCTAGTTTTGGCTCTCAAACAATATCTCGTAGAAAGCTCGTTCTCTAATACTCCCTCTATAAACTAATATAAGAGCATTTAGATCACTACTTTAGCCGCATTTTTGGAGGGAGTAGTAGACAAGAAGATATACATATACTGCTATAATTTATTTCCATTTTTGCCATGTCATGAAAAAATCACATGGAGCTGCTGGTACATAGTTAGCCGCATTCTTCAGAGTTAGGTGCCTATTGTTGATGTTAGAAGAATAGCAACTTGTATTATTAGGAGGCCAAAGCCAGCATATACATGATATACATGAGGATGCCAAAAGGCTAGAATACAAAAGGCCAAAGGCCATCACCAATATAACTCTAACATCAAACTCATGGTGGATCCACAACACTGAGTTTGGAGAGGTGAAATCTATGTTGCGCTCTAGTCTCGGCCTTTGAGAAGAAGTCTGCTAGCTATAACTTGGAAGGCACATATTGAAGAGCAACAACATGATCCTGCACATCAGTACGCACATAAGAAGCATGAACACCAATATGCTTGGTAAGCTCATGCATCATGGGGTCTCGCGCAATACTTATAGCACCTGTATTGTCACACAAGAGGGCGGTAGGTGTAGTAACAAAAACACCAAAATCCTCTAGTAGCCATCGTAATCATGTCACCTCTGCCATCAGAAGAGCCATGGCTCTCAACTCGGCCTCTGCTTCTGAACGGGAAAATGAAGTCTGTTTCTTCGTCTTCCAGCCAATGAGAGAACCACCAACAAAAACATAGTGAGCAGATAGTCAACGGCGATCCAAAGGATCACTCGCCCATGTAGCATCTAAATAGGCCTGGAGCTGGAACAGGGAAAAAGACACGATGAGAGATTGTGCCACGAAGATATTGTAGAACACGAAGAAGATGACTATAGTGAACTAAAGTGCGAGCGGAAACAAACTGACTCGGAATAGAGATATCCGGACGAGTGACAACAAGATAGATAAGACTCCCAAAAAAATGACGATAACACGTCAGATTAGATAATAGCTCACCATCAGAAGCGTGAAGGTTAACATTGAGCTCCATAGGAGTCTCGACAGTGCGCTCATCACTAGGACCCGCACGAGCAATAAGATTCTGGATATACTTTTCTTGGGAAAAAGACATCAGAGGTGGAGGAAACCTCAATCTCAAGAAAGTAACGAAGATGACCAAGATCAGGCATAAGAAACTGCTCACTGAGACGGGCCTTGACAAAGGCAATGTACTCAAAATCATCGCCAGTGATGATCATATCATCAACATATAGAAGAAGAAGAGTGCGACCATGAGCAGAAAGGTGGTCAAACAGCGCTGGATCATGAGCACTAGGCGAAAAACTAGCCACGGTGACCACAGAGGCAAAACGCTCAAACCAAGCACAAGGGGCTTGCTTAAGGCCATCGAGAGAGCAATGAAGACGGCAGGCCATGCCATTAGGAACTGAATATCCAGGTGGTGGCCGTATATAAAATTCCTCACGCAACTCACCATTAAGAAAGACTTCCTTAACATCAAGCTAAGACACGGACCACTGGCGAACATAGGCCATGGCGAGAAGTGTGTGGACGATGGTCTATGGGCCACAAGAGCAAAAGTCTCATCGTAATCATGACCATGCTCTTGCTGAAAGCCACGAGCCACAAGAGGATCTTTATAACGCTCAAGAGAATCATCAGAGCAGGTCTTAATTTTATAGACCCACTTACAAGTGATGGGATGAATATGGGGAGGAAGGGAAACCTGATCCCACATGCCGGTGTGCTCAAGGAAGGCAATCACCTCTGTCATCGCAAACTACCATTCAGGATGAACAACAACATCTCGATAAGAAGTCGGCTCAAGAACAGCCGAAAGACCACAACGAGAAGGAAAATATCGGTCAGGGGGTAGACAAGGCCAAGAACAAAGACCATAAGTCAGCTGAGAGAAGGAAGACGACACACGAGAAGTAGAGGGCACATCTGTAGACTTATCCACAACACATGGACGATGAGTATAATGAAAAGGAAAGGAGGGAAGAGGTGGAATCACTGGAGGTGGAGAGGGGGAATGTATCAGTGATGAAGGTGGAGAAGGGGAAGGTATCGATGATGAAGGTAGAGTGTCATGTGATGAGGGAGGAGAATAAACCATATGAGAGGAAGGCGCCAGATCTGCAATAGCAGGACGAGGAGTAGGAATACCTGACATAGAGGGAGGTGTATCTGGAATCATAAGAAAAGAGTGTCCTCCATGGAAAAGGCTTAGGAGAATGGACGCAGGTTTAAGGGACGAGACTCATCAAAGGTGACATCCCGGGAAATACGCATCCGGTGACTGACAGGATCCCAACATCGATTGCCCTTATGCTCATCACTATATTCGAGAAAGACACACTCAACGGACTAAGCAGTCAGTTTCGGGTAAAACATAGCAAACGCAACCAAACAAACAAAGCATCGAATAATTAGGAGAACGACCGGAAAGACGCTTGAGAAGAATACCACCTTGTAGAGCAGCAAATGGTTGAATGTTGATGAGATAGGTGGAAGTGGTAACAGCCTCACCCATAAATGAGGCAGAAGAGAGGCGGCGATCATCATTGCATGCGCCATCTCAAGAAGGTGATGATGCTTGCGCTCAGCCACACCATTATGAGCATGAGCTCTAGGACAAGAGAACTGACTAAGGGTACCTTGCTCAGCAAAGAATCCTCACAACGCATGGGAGATATACTCACCAGATAAATCTACGCGAAAAACACTAATATGAGTGGAAAACTAGGTATTGATACGTCTCCAACATATCTACTTTTCCTAATGCTTTTCCTCTTGTTTTGGACTCTAATTTGCATGATTTGAATGAAACTAACCCGGAATGACATTGTTTTCAGTAGAACTACCATGGTGTTGTTTTTGTGCAGAAATAAAAGTTCTCGAAACGAAATGAAACTTTGCGAGGATTTTTATATAATAAAATAGAATTTCTGGAGCCAAGAACCACCGAAGGGGGAACCTGGGTGGGCACAACCCACCAGGAATAACACCACTAGAGGAAAGACAACATACATCTCATCAAAATATCGAACGAATACCAAATTCACACGATTACTTAAAAAAGACTTCACCCATGTCCTCGGGAACAAACGTAACTACTCACAAAGCATATTCATGTTCATAATCAGAGGGGTAATAATTATCATTAAGGATCTGAACATATGATGTTCCACCGAACAAACCAACTTGCATCAACTACAAGGAGTATTCAACACTACTAGCAACCCACAGGTACCAATCTGAGGTTTTGAGACAAAGATCGGATACCAGAGATGAACTAGGGATTCAGAGGATATGGTGTTGGTGAAGATGTTGGTGGAGATTGACCCCCTCTCGATGAGAGTATCATTGGTGATGATGATGGCTTCGATTTTCCCCCTCCCAGTGGAAAGTTTCCCCGGCATAACAGTTCCACCGGAGCCCTAGATTGGTTCTGCCCAGGTTCCGCCACGAGACGATGACGCTTCATCCCGAAAGCTTCCTCTTGATTTTTTCCAGGTTAAAACACATCATATAGCAGAAGATGGGCACCGGAGGCCTGCCAAGTGGCTCACAAGGCAGGGGGCGCGCCCAGGGGGTAGGGCATGCCCCCCACCCTTGTGGATGCCTGGTGGGTCCCCCGGTTCTTTCTTTGCCCAATATGTTTTGTATATTCCAAAATAATTCTCCGTAAATTTTCAG